ATTTTTTCTCACCTTTTCATCCCCGACATAGTAAATCATATGATCATCTGATTCAAAATGTCCCATGCCAAGCCATCTCATTTCGCCAATATCTAGTATGTCAACATTTATGCGTTCCATTTCTTTCTTAACAATATCCAATTTTCCTACATTCATGCTTCTCACATCCCATGTTCGAATCATTAGTGTCTCCGTAGAGCTATTCCTCTTTCTCTGTGTTTCCATTTCTAAGATCTCAGTTTCAATTGCCATGTCTGTTAGTCCAAATGATAGTCTAAGTGTGTTCTATTGTTCATTGGGTATGGAGACAGGCTGCATCGATAAGAATTATTTTAATCTGTAGAGTGGCTACAAAATATGAATATGGAAAACCTTAATTCATTGGATTCAGTCATTCTGGAATGTATTCTGATGGTAAAATCTCTGTTATGACCTTTTAAAACTCTTTATGTATTACAAAGGCAGGTCTGGTGGCACAGTGCTAAGAAGTTGCACTGTCATCCCAAAGGCAGGAGAATTTGAATCCACTAGCTGTTCTGAGAGCAATCTCCTGTGTAATTTACTTCCTCTGAAAACCTGCTGGAGGGTCAACTATGGATCACTTCCCACTCAACGGCATAAAACAACAACTGTTACAAACATCCATAAAACAATGTGTTTGTTTTTAGATGCCTTTGTGTCAACTGCAACTCATGGAGACCCTATGAACAATAGTTCTGAAGCTCTCCCTATCTCCACCATCTAACAATGTGTATAAGCTTCCTTTTTTGGTGGTGGTGGCAGCTGAGGGACAAGTTGGATGTCCAACATTAGAAGGCTGAAGAGATAACTTGTGGTAGATATAATCCACACAGCATGTGGCAGTCAAAAGAGCATTTTCCCAGAATAGTACAGATGTAGCACTACATCAAAATGAATAGTTATAATCTCTCTCCATATCTGTATGCTGGGAAAATTATGTGAGAAGCTGGACTCTATGAAGAGTAATGTAGCATCAGGATTGGAGGGAGACTCAACAATAAGCTGCATTATGCAGATGAAACAACCTTACTTGCTGAAAGTGAGGAGGACTTGAAGCATTTGTGGCAGAAGGTCATTGAATGCAGCCTTCAGTATGGATTGCATCACAGTATTAAGAAAACAAAGGTTCTTAGCACTGGACCAATAGGCAGTGTCATGATGGATGGAGAGGAGATTGAAACTGTCAACAGCTTCATCTTGCTTAAATCCACGACACTCCTGGTATGAACAGTCAGGAAATAAGGAGACGCATTGCAATGGGAAAATCTGCAGTTATGGATCTTCATAAATTATTGAGGAGTGGTGATGTCAGTTTGAGGACTAAGCTGTGTCTGATTCAGGCTTGAGCTTTCTGATCACTAGCTATGCATCTGAGGCCTGGACAATCAATAAGGATTACAGAAAAAGAATTGATACCTTTGAGCTACGGTGTTGGAGAAGGGAGCTGAACATCTTGGATGGCCAAGAAAATGAACAGATATGTCTTGGAGATGGTGTAACCAGAGTGCTCTTTGGAGGCAAGAATGATGAGGTTTCATCTCATATATTTTGGACATGTTGCTAGGAGGTGCTATTATTATTCCTTGGAGAGGGAAATTATGTTGGGAAGAGTGGAGGGTCAGCAAAAGAGAGGAAGACCCTCAATAAGCTGGGTTAACACAATGACTGCTGCAATGGGCTCTTGTATGTCAAGAAGTGTGAGGATGGCACAGGACAGAACAGTGTTTAGATCTTTTGTTCACAGGGTCGCTAAGAATTGTACTCAACTTGATGGCACCTAACAAAAACATTTAAAAAAAAGTCATTCTGTGAAGCCACCAGCTGCTCCATGGGAGAAAGACAGACAATCTCCTCATATACAATCTCCTCTTAAGGGTCAGTTGCATTTCGACAGTACACAACAACAACATTTAAAGTGTTAAAATACAGAATGAAATCTTTAAGTAATGAGTTATGCAAAATAAATTATTTTTTCATGTTAAAGAATAATACCCATTTTATAAAAACATAAAGTGAGTAAGAATTAGACATATGAGAGTGATTGTTTCAGGGTAAAGAAAGACACTGGAAGGAAAAAGGTAGACAAATAAACATAGATAGTTATATTAATAACCATATTTTTTCTTTTATTATAGCCTAGAAAGCTTTCTTATCTTATCTTCAATATTTAATGAAGTTCAGATGTTTCTTGATTTATTAGAACTCCTACTGCAGAATTGTTTTGAGGCTATTTAATGATTTCTGTTCATCCTTAGAAATAAATGAAGTTACTTTAGTCTAAGTTTTTCCAAAACTATGTTTGGTAATATCATAACATTTACACAGAAAAAAAAAGCCAAATACAGCTTTGAAATATCTCTTAAAACCCCACATTATACTTCCTATTAACACTTCTCAGAAATTTTATGCTTAGCTCTGTTCAACCAGGGTTTTCAATTTTATTGATCAAATAAATACTTCTAAAATATTAGCTATTGATGATCACTAATTGATTAAAATCACCCTCACTAGTACAGGAGTGAGTGTTTCCAGTGAATAAAGATGACAGAATAGTAATTGATGCCATTGAGCTCTGGTGTTGGAGGAGAATACATGGATGGATAAAAGAAGCAACATGTATGTTCTGGAGAAAGTGCAGCCAGAGTGCTCCTTGGAGGCAAAGGTGATAAACATGGCCTCAAACACTTTCATTGTGTGTCTAGGAAAGGCTACTCCTTGGAGAAGAACATCATGCTTGGAAAGGTGGAGGTCAGTGAAAAGGAGGAAGTCCTTCAGCCGGATGGATTGACACAGTGAATGAAAAAGTGGGCTTGCATATGTCAGAGAGTGAGAGGATGGTGCAGGACAGTACAGAGTTCAGGCCTGGGTCACACTTGAATAGGAGACACCTAACAACTACAACAATATCCCTTTGTATCACTAGTATACTGAGGTTCAATTTCCTCATGGGAAGACATTTCTTTAGGGAGCTCTGGTGACCGTGTCTCTAGACAGTTTTGCTGTTAACCCCGAAAGGACACACCTCTTTGACATTTTGAATCTACCATCATCAGCTCCATGGGAGAAAAAAAAGAAATCTCCTCCTGTGCAATTTACACCTTCAGAAACCCAATCAGCTATAATTCAATTCTTACTTGAGTTTGCTGGGGTGTTTTATATCTGATTGTGTTCATGCAAAACTTATACTTGGACCAGGAAGCAGTCATTAGAACAGAGCAAGGAAGGCGTGCAAGGTTCAAAAATAAAGAAAGGAATGATTAGGGATGGGTCTTGTATCCATAACTTTTCAATCTACATGCGAAATAGATCATTCTGGAAGCGGTGCCTTATGAGGAGGAATATGGCATCAGAATTGGAGAAAGACTCATCAACAAACTGCATTATGCAGATAACACAACCTTGCTTGCTGAAAGTGAGGAGGATCTGAAGCAGTTGCTACAGTGCAACATCACGAAGACAAAGATTCTCACCACTGGGCCAATTGGCAGCACCACGAGATATGGATAAAAGATTGAGATGTTAACAATTTCAGCTTGCTCGGCTCCACAATCAACACTCTTGGCACCAGCAGTCAGGAAGTCAAAAGACAAATTGCAGTAGGAAAATCTGCTGCCAGGGACATGCCCTGTGCGCTGATTGAAACAACAAGGTCAGTCTAGAGACTAAGGTGTGCCTGATTCAGGTCATGGTCTTCATAATTACTTGCTATACATCAGAGAGAGCCAGAAAATGATCAAAGATGACAGAAGAAGAACCAATGCCCTTTGAGTTGTGGTGTGGAGAAGAACATTGAGTGTACCATGGACTAACAAGAGAATAAACAGGTTTGTCCCAGAGAGGGTTAAATCAAGATACTCCTTGAAGGTAAGGAATTTTAGGCTCTGTCTCACATTCTTTGAGCATGTTGCCAGGACGGACCAATCCTTGGATAAAAACATCATGATTGGAAGGGTGGTGGGACAGTGCAGGACAGGAAGACCTTGAATGAGATGGATTGACACAGTAACTGAGATAATGAAGGTAGGTTATGTCAGTGAAATTGGCTCAGAACAGGGCAAGGTTCAGAGCTATTGTTCATAGGGTCTCTTATGAGTCATAGTTGACTCAATGGCATATAACAATAAGAACAATAGGGAAAAAATATCTGTTTTGGAGAAGCCAGTTTATTTTATAGAAGAATAAATTGAAACTCGAGGAGGAGAAGGGATTCATATGCCCTTCCATGACAGGATGAAATCTAGAACTCAGATCTCCACCTCTACTTAGGGGTGCAGAGGCTTTCACCATCTATTGTTGTTCCCCATCTACCTGTCATCAGCTGCCACTGAGGAACGAATTGTTTAGAACACTACACTATTTTATGAGGCTTTCTTTTGTGCTTTCTAGGAATAAAACAGCACTTCCCTCCAAGTCATGCAAGTGTGTTAATGATGGCTCTGTTCTCTCTTAATGGATTTACTATACATATATATCAAAGTTTGGTGGCCTAGTGGCAAGAAGCTGTGCTTAAATCCCAAAAGCATGCAGTTAGAGACCATTAGCTGTTCTGCAGAAGTAGAATGAACAATTTCCTCCCACGCAATCAATAGCTTCTGAAAAACCACTGGAGGGTAAGCTATGGGTCAGTTCTGACTCTATGGTAAATAAAAACAACAGGAGGACAATGCAATTGACCAATATAAACTCATACCTCAGATCAGCTTAAACCAGTTTAAAACATAGCTGCTGCTTGGTCTTTGTGCCATGATCACTAACTTGTCCTTTAGGAAAAGGAACTGAGAGTTCAGAAGAGCCCAGCAGGAAGTGTGGGCCTCTTCTGCATGAAAACTGAGAGTTCATTTTCACTATTACAATCTTTTGATCCTTTTCCTTTTTTCTGTCTCTTTGTTCTCCTCTCATGTACATCCTCATCCCCAGGCATATGGAACCTACCAGACGTAACCCCTCCCAGTCCCAGTGAAAAGCAGAATCTCTCTTACCTTCCACTTGATAAGCTGCAGTAGCTGCCCCCCAGCCAAATCCTGCAGGAAAAGCCATGGTTTCCAAAGAAGGCAGACCAAGACACTTGGCAAAATGGAACTCTCTGTGTCTTTTCACTTTAGAAACCACGTAGTTGCACAAACTATTAAGTGAACTCTCACCCCAGAGAGGAATCCAAGAATTCAAATGTGCATGCAAGCAAGAAACAGAGCCAGATTAATCAAACCTCATCTTACTGGCCACAACCTTAATAAAAATCCAAGATCTTTGTACCCAGAAAGCAATTACCCTTTCCTCTCTGAGCACTCCCTGGTTGGCAGTACGGTTACTTCTGAGTCCTTGCTTTGGTAAAGTATCCATTCCCTTGACTTATTCTTGTTAAATGCAATATGTGGACACTGCTTTTTAAAAAAATCAGGTAATCCAGCTAGACTATTCCCTCAGCTCATTCCTTCTTTCCAGAACCCTAATCCCTGGTGGTAACCAGGTTTGACTGGTGTGTGTGTGTGTGTGTGTGTGTGTGTGTGTGTGTGTGTGTGTGTTATTTATCACCATATATGGCTTTCTTTTAAAATCATAATCTAATGTTGCTACTTCCTTTTTTATTTTTAATAGAACCTTTTGACTACTGGGTAAAGAAGTGAGCATGAATCATTTAAATGAGTCAATTAAAACTTCCTGTATTAAGAATGGGTACTTGGGGGGGGGGGAAAGAATGAGTAGTTGGTACACCTATGTTCACAGCTGTGTTATTTACAACAGCAAGAAAAGGGAAACAGCCCAGATGTTCATCAACAGCAAATGGATTGAGAAATTATGATACCTTCAGACAATGTGGCACTATGGAGCAACAATTTTGGAAAATACTATATAACATGGGAGAATAGAGAGAGCACTATGCTGAGTGAACTAACTCAGTCTCTTAGGGTCAACTACCAAATGAGACCATTTACGGTAAACATAGAAGGATAAAGAGTAAGGTGTGGATTAAAGTCCAAAAGGGGAAAAGGAGAGATGGGAGGGGGGCAGACAGTGGAGATGGTGTCACAAGGATGACAGAATTTGGTGAAAGGAAGGGTGGGGGGGTTGTCCTTGAATCTATTCCAATTTATAATGTCCATAGATGATTGCAGACTCTGTATCTGTTAATATTAGTATGTGGAGACAAGAACTTGCTCCTGACCCTTGCTAAGTGATTTTTAGTCACTGGGTGGCACATGTGGTTCACGTGATCAGCTGCTAAGCAAAAGGTTGACCTTTTCAATCCATTCCCTACAAAGAAATCCTAGGAATGAGCTCTTAACAAATCACAACCACTGAAAACTCCACGGACTGTAGAGAAATCCAATTGATTTTTGTATGTTGATCCTGCATCCTGTCACTTGGCCAAATTGGTCAACTATGTCCAATAGTTTTCTTGCTGAATCTTTCAGGTTTTCTAAGTATAGGCTGGGCTCTATGAGGAGAATTGTGGCATCAGGATTGGTGAAAGATCTATTAACAATCTGCGTTATGCAGATGACACAACACTGCTTGCTGAAACTGAGGAGGACCTCATGCACTTGCTGCGAAGGGTCAAGGACTGCAGCCTTCCGTATGGACTGAGGCTCA